TTATTATAAATATTTACCAATAGATATAATAATGTATTTGTCGGACAATAATTTCATAAACGGTATGTCATACGAAGCGCTTCCACTACTTAGCGACCAGTTAAATGTAATTAATTGACAGACTAGTGATAATAGAGTATATTATAATTTATTGTATTTGTATAATTTATATTTTACCAATTAGTATGCTAGTAAAGACTGCGATTATAATAAATGGCGCTGACTTTCCCAAGAATTCATAAGTAAATCCTCCAAATGGATAACCGATTAAAACTCCCAGAGCCATACCTCCCAATATAAAGCCCATAATAGAGGACCTAGTTTCTTGGTTAGGGAACATATTGGCAATCATTGCCATTCCTGTATTACAATTAAAATTTTTATTATCAATTACTAGACATACAATTAATAAATACCGGAAACAGTAATAAAAGCCGAAGCAATGCCTTGAATACAGCGCGGGATTAATAGCATAATGAATGACTCGCCCATCGCATAGACTGGACATACAGTTTAGTCGGTTATATACAGCACTAGAAATAGGCTATAATTGTGAATAACTCACGCAATGATGAGAGAAGCAAAACAAAAGACCCGAATATTTGTGTCTTTTCATAACCGATACGATTGATGAGAGGACTGACGAAGAAGTTGCAAACCATTTGAATGAAAGCTTTGGTGGACAACAGAAAGCCTATCCTTCCGTTTTCATCGTCGAAAAGAGTGCTCGAGTGCAGGGAAATGATGTTATTGTAAATTGTGGTCAAGTTATCGGTTTTGGTGAAGTTCGGCTCAATTAGGCTCCGGAACAAAGGCATCGATAGAGTTATTGTTGAGTTAGAGTTGACCATTATTTTGTTTATATAGTCGGGAATTACCGGTACTTTTAGTGTTCAACAAAATTATTTCAATATACCTGTATACAATTTTATTATTTCAAGAAATATTCATAACATACCAACAGATGTTAGCAATAGATTATCGATAAGTATAGCCAAATAAATGAGAATTATTGAGCACTTGGGAGTGCTCTGAAGCCATTCGCATAATTTGTTAAATTCATCCAGATTGTGTAAATTATTTGATATGATTGCAAACATATTCTTAAAGTTCACATTCACTTTAATATAATTCTACAATTTTTTAATGCTAGCTAATATGTGATGGCAATATGAGTTGAGAATTATACTGTGTTATGAAGTCTGCCTGTAATATTTGTTCTCATTGAAACCACAGCTTAATAATAGTTAACAAAAAACTTATTATATTTTGAGTAAACACGTTAAGAATATTATTATCAGTACTAAACAGACGCTCTAAAACGATATAAATCCAATGCATAAAGGATTAGCGACTCATATAAAACATAACGATTCATAACTGACTTTATCATGGAGTTTATTCTTTAAGTTATCAGTTTTTAATCATTACTTAATTGTTTACTTAATTTATTTATAAGCACAAGAATAAACATATATCTGTGAAAAAATGATACAAAGTATGAGAAAATTAACAAAATTAATGACATATTAATGAATTTGTGGTAAATTTGTTTCTATAAATATATTATTGAATTAGTTGACTAATAAACATAAGTAGTCTTTTTAAATTCAACCCATTCGGGTGTCTCTGTATTCACTGATTTGGTATATCGCGAGAATATTCTGTTAATTCTTTTAGACAATCTTGATTCTCTAAATTCTGTATGATTTCTATCTCCCGTAGTGTCAATATTGCCGTTTGTATGCATATGATTCATCTCAATGTCTGGACTACTTTGCTCAGTGATCGTAGCCCAGGGTTGGCGCTGAGCCGACGCTAATATTTCGAAACATACGGCGCCCAACAGATAGAAAGCTGCCGTCACGTAGAAAACCAAATCCCATTTCTTGCGACTTTGTGTCTAATATTTGTTTGCATATTGTATTAAAAAATGTCAAATAAGTAATTTATGACATAATAAATATTTTTAAATTACATTATTATTTGTGTCTCGAATCTGTCCGACAATAATAGGCCCTAAAAAGCCCATGGCCGAGGCCAGAGTATTGGTTAACCCAAACACAGTTCCCGTAAATTCTGGCGCGTATTCCGGTATAATTGGGTACTCGCCTCCCGTTATAAACCCATACAAACACATACTCAACACAATTAGTATGACAACTGACACTAAATCACAACCAACTGCCGGTACGAGTGCCAGACATATAGCCGGTCCCACAAGAGCTGGAAAAAATGATCAATAAAATGACAAAACTGATTACCGGTAGTAATAAAAAAGTGTAATACCGGTCATTTGAAATAGCTTTCTAATTCTGGTTCGCGTAAACTTAGACTTTGCGATAACAAAGGTGGACAGAGGGCCGGCACTTAATAGAGTAATACCAATGAACAGATACATGAGTGCTGTGTACAATCCATTATCGGTTATTTTGACACTAAATATGGTATCGAAATATGAGGGCACACTCGTCACCACCACATAATAGCCAAACGATCCGCTCGTTTTAGCCAATATTGACGCATAGACTGTGCGACAGGTGAGTATGGATTTCCAGGGAATGGGAGCTGAACTCTATTAAATTATGAGGGCACACTCGTCACCACCACATAATAGCCAAACGATCCGCTCGTTTTAGCCAATATTGACGCATAGACTGTGCGACAGGTGAGTATGGATTTCCAGGGAATGGGAGCTGAACTCTATTAAATGAATTTGTTAGTAAACATAATTAACTGTATTTAATGAATAAAACTAATTACTTTAGCGGTTTGCGATACCGTGTTCTGTAATATATAGAGATGTTCATCAGGACTGATGCCCTTATCATCTGCGGGCGAGTCGTACGCAAACAACAGCCATGGGATCAACCATATGATGTGTATAAGACTGGATGTGTAGAAAATAGAGGGCCAGCCGCCAGCGTATCCATGTTTGGCCAGATAGCCAGCCATTGGCGACATGAAAACAGCGCCAATATTACCACCAAATTGTGTGGCGGCGATGGCTATCGTCCGCTCCTGCGTTGGGAACCATTTGGCATACATTGAGAACAGAGACGAGTGAACCAAGCCGTGAAAGGCGCCGATTATCACTCTGATGACAATGAGCCAGCTATAATCCCGGTCCACAGCAAATGGGGACACGGCGTTCACGAGCGCCGGAACCGCTAAACCCAAACTGCAGACCCATTTGGCGCCCCACCGGTCCGTCAGGAGTCCGCCGACGATTTGTGTGGCCGTAAAACCGTAGAAATATGCGCCTAATATAATGCCCTGGGTCGATTCACTCCAATCATAATCTCTGTGAGACTTTTGTATGATTGTGGGGTTATTTTATGATTCACTTTGATGGCCAGTTATGTTGTAATCATAATTACCGGTAAATTGTCAAATTTATAGTCATCTCCATTGTAGTTATAACACCAGTCCTGGGGATGACTGGAGTTTTTAGGCCTAACCATCTCCACAATCGCCACATTTAGGTTGACCCGTAGGGTGTACAATAGACTACAGGCGGTCATACCTAATATTCCGATTCTGTATCGGCTCGGAAGGCATCCTTTGAACACCATTTTTGCACACATTTAATGTTTAACCCATTTATACAAAGTATTAAATAATAAAATAAAAGAGCGCTACAAATACAAAGAATATTTTCAATGGAAATCACTTGAAACCAAAATTATTGTTTTTTTATTGCACTGCTTTTTATTACCAGAGATAAGTTATATTGTTTGAAAACATATTCAGTTTTGAGTAAATTACAAATATGATTTTAATGAATTAAATGAGGTAAGTATTCAGGATCTTATTCATTTTTACAATATACAATGTTCAATGTTTAATATTAATGTAATAATTTTAATTTTGTAATATTAATTATAACATCGTTATATTTTCACTTATCTGTATATGTTTTGAAATATCAAAGTAATGTATAAATTAGTTATTTTTATAATAATATTAAATATTTTTATTTTGTAGTAATAATTGATTTTAACTGAATTAATATGCCATGATATTTTATAAAATATATTATAAGTTACATTAAGTAAATTGGATTTCTGTGTAAACTATAACCGATAATAATTATATAATTTAAAGTAATATAGTTATAGTAAAAAGCTCCATGATATATCCATTAAATGGCACTACTTTACCTTGATAATATAATTTAAGTAATTTACATATGACAATAAAGATTAATAATTAGTACTTTATAAATTTAAATAAATCTACTCGTATTTCATTAGTTAATGTGATGGGTAATTGTGGTTTATTTGTTTGCTTTGCCCACAATTTATATTTGCTTTTCATTTACAAATCCTTATCACTAAACTACCGGTACTTTTACTGTGAAATACAAAGAATTGATAACAACTCTGTAATAATAAAAATAATTGTCAAACTCATCAGACATGTAGACTTGATTTACATCTGCTTTATAATGAATCTAATAATTTCACGTCAATATTCGTCATAAACTAATGAATGATTTATATTATTAAAGCTATTTTTAATTAAAACCTTTACAATGAATTAGTTGTAAAGATATACTATAATTCATTGAGATTCACAATGTAAATGCAACTATAAATACGATTAATAAATATAATTTGTTATATAAATACAATATAATAATAATAATTGTTGCCTAAAAAAACATTGAACCAAAGGTTTAATGAAATGGTTTCACATGTAATATGTTTCCACTTTCAATGATATTGACTTTCAAATTAAGAAAATATTTTTGTTTTCATTCTTATTCTTATGAAACGACGATTAAAATGATATCTTTTGAGGAAATTTTTATGACTTCTAAAAATAAGTTTATTTTCAAAATATTGGATTTTTTAATTCAGATTATATTTGAAAATATTTACTCCTTAAAAATTGTAATAATAAATGAATTATTGGATAATATCTGAGATACTAAATTGTTATACGAGTATTATTATTATGCAAGTAAATTGTTACTAACACTATCATTGGCAAAATGCCTATTTATATAATACTGACAATTGGTGATCACAAAAAACTGTTACCGGTAATTACTTTAACACACATTATATTTATATAAACACTTTTTTGTTAGTTTCATAATAATAAAATTTTTTATATTCCAACCAAATAGGAATAACATGGTAATGAATACCCAGTCTATTCATGGTATAATTAAATAGAGATTTTGTTTAGAAATTGAATCTTAAATTTTATTTCACACTACAATGAATTTAAATAAAATGAA